TCATACCTCCTTTGGTTGTAGTTTCCACATCTTGCTCTTTGGACTCTTCAACATTTCCCTTGCTACCTTCCTTACTATCAGTGATAACACCAATATCTGGGATAGGTACACCAGTGTCGTCGTCTCTTTTAGTGCTCATTTCCTCCGTGTTATTATAATGGACGACTTTGTCACCACTCAGATCCTTTTGAGATGCTTCAGAATGGTTCAAGCCATCTTTCACTGACTCTAGAGTTTCATCTAGAGAAACCCTCTGTTTCTCTGTGTTTGTCATGTCGCATTCAAGCAGCTCTTCACTGGCACTTGCTCCCTGCACAGACCCACGGGAGAGCAATGTTGATTCTTTCTTCAATGATCCAGCATTCTCACCATCAGAATCAGAGTATAAAGAAGACTCACTGGTATAGCATTCTACTGGAGATGATGGTGCAGACTCCCCCTTTGCTGTATTTAAAGAAGGACATTCAAATAAAATGGATATTTTAACAAATATAGCATAGTTATTAACATTAAGGAACAAAAACCCTTGAAATTGAAAATACCTGCACTGAGGCAGTGCTTGTTAGAAATTGCCATTAGTGAGTCAATGGGACTCATCTATTAAAAAATAATGAGTACCAGACTAAAATGAATGGATCTGTTGACATAGTGCATGGTTTTGTTAATACATTAACTGTACAGGGTCTATATTTCAACCATAACCAAAATACATTTTATAATGAAGTAATATGACCTATCATAATGCAAGCTGCCAGTACACATTTTCACAGAAAATTGAGAATGTATAGATATTGTAAATAAAGAAGAAATTCCTTGTTGGTCACTTCAGGGAGTGAAAAGGTTTCAGACAAGACATTAGTTTTCTCCTTACCTTGTCTGTCTAAGTTGCTAACATTTTCTCTGTTGTTTTCCAATGTCTCTGTAATTTTGAGTGTTTTGTCTTTTGATTGTGCTCCTGCATCATCACAAGTGCCTGGATCTTGCCCTTCACCTATGAGCAAATATTTAAAAGCCCCTCATGATGTACATATACACTGTAAGTTTATTTCACAAAAGTAGATTATATTTAATTTTGGCTAGTAATGAAGACAGGTTTAACCTCATCTTTGGCTTTTGTTACAGGCTTTCACAATCTGATTATATATACACTAAATAATGACCAAAACTTAGGCAATACTTAGCCTATTGTCTAAAAAAGAAAATGAAAAAAATAGAAATAAAATAAACAAGAAAACTATAAAGTAGTGTGTCATGAGTGTGCGGCAGAGACAAATGTGAGAGCAATATTTGATACGATGGGTAAGGTAATGATCGTTGGGTTCATACATCCTAAGTGTTCCCCTATTTCACTCAATGCTAGGACCAGCAGTATTGGATGCACCATGTATGAGCAAAGATTGAAACAAATGGTGATTTTACGCTCACTTATTGAACATAGAAATATAAACTTGTATAATTTGTTTCTGATACAGTAGGATAATTCTGCCCAGAGGGTTTCTAGAATGCACATTTTTAGCATGTTAGGAAAATTAAACTAAATTGAAACTGTCAAAGAAATGCATCTAAAGCAGAGAGAAAGTTGGAGCTACAACAACACTTTTTACTGTGAAAAATGTCAGTGGAAACACTCATTAACAATAAATAAAATCACATTAATTCATTAGTTTAAAAGGAGCTAGCACCCCTTAAGAACATTTTTTGTATTAATCATCTAACATTGTAGTGAACAGCTAAGCCCTACATACACTATTTAACACCTTTCAAAGATGGCTGAAGTAATGTACCTTCTTGGCTTCTCTCCTGATTATCTACCACTGAATCTGTAACATTTCCCTCACCATCTTCGAATTCCCTGCTCTCAGATGAATTATCATTCACCGGAGGATTTGTTGTCTCAGTTAGGACTGAGTTACCTTTCCCATTGCTCAAATCTTCTTGGTTCTTAGAATCTAAGACTTCCTCACAAGGCTCCTTTTGAGATGTTCCAGATAGAGTTGTTGTCTCTACATCTCCCAGCTCTGATTCTTTAGTATTTGATTCCACTACACTATCTTTAGTCTTTCCCACATCAAAAATTTCTGTCTGTTCACTATTGGCTGATTCTTCAGGCCTAACATGTGGGACTTCCATGCTCTCTGTGTTATCCATGAGCTGATGGAGTACAACATCAGCTCTACTAATACTTTGCTTTCTGACCAAGATAACTGTGACTGCATAGACAACTGTTCCCTTTTTAGAAAATGATCATTTTTCTCCTTCATTTTCTTCTCTTTCTTTCTACTCCTCTGCTTCCTTGAGTGTGTCATGGGATAATTATAAATTGATTAGAATTTTCTGTCTTTATATTCATGAGTACATTTTATTGCCATATCTGGTAAGCAAGAATAACTATTTTGGTAAAAATTTTCTTTCTTTTGTTTTCATACAATACAGCACTATACTATGGAATCTTTGTTAGATCTTTCAGTTTCCCAAGAAATTATCATGCATACATACATGCTCATTTGAAAATAAAAGTAACACAGTAATATATGTACACAGGCTTAGAAACTATAAATCTCAACACAGGTGGCTCAAGTTCCAGCTGTAAGGTGATCATCTTGTGAAATAAGAGTCATGGCAAAATTAAAAGAGTTTGTATGGGAACATTTATGATCACTCCTAGGAATAAAAAATTACAGTCAAATTCTTACTAAAAATACCTCACCTTACGTCCACAGTGCATCAATGGTTAGAGAAGCCATCTTATATAGTAACCCTAGAAATGGATAACTAGCTAAAATGGGTTCTTTTAACAAAGTAAGCAGCTAGATAACAAGTGATGCACCATGGAAGTAAGGTGAGGTGTATTTATTGAGAGTTTGACTATATTTTTAATTCTTAAGAGTAGTCGTAAATATCCCTATACAAACTCTTATAATTTCACCATGACTCTTATTATGCAAGATGATCATCTAACAGCTGGAGCTTGGGCCGCCTGTAGTATCAATTGTATGAACTTTCACAAACCATCAAATCCTAAAAATCAAAACATTTCTTAAAATTGAAAAAGATAATTGCAAGCATGGTGGTAATAGTGCAACCTTTAAAACTGGATTGTGTGGTTAGCATTCACAGACTGCACAAACCGCAAAGCAAAGACACTAAGTGGGGATATTAGCAGACACAATCTCTCAGCAAGAGTTAGTCCATGTGACAGAAAAATCCCAAGGTAATGATATGAGACCCAAACCATCAGGCAGTTAGGCTGACAACTGAAGTGAATATATCAGCCACGTTGGCAAACTTACCCAGCGAGCAAGAAGCCCTACCTCCCCTCATGACCCAACTGTGTTGTGGGTAACTTACTACATTGTAAAAGATCGGAAGGTACCCGCCAAGAATGCCAAGGTGATAGGTACAAGTGAAAGGTCTGCAGTTCATTCCCTGGTTACTTCCTGCAGTTAAAATTTATTTAAGGAAAGGGGAGGAAGCGGTGGGTGAAAATCAACCTAACAAGCAGAAAATAATGTGTCTAACTTACATGTTAAGTGTTCACTAATAACCAACAGATGTATATGACCAATTGCTTAATTAAATCGTAAACATCCAGACAACCACTTGTACAAATCTAGCAGCCATTGCCACTTGGATATATAGTGTTAATGACACTTGAACGGGCGAGCGCCAGTCTCTTTTTTCCGATCAAGCTGGTTTCTGCTGGATTACGACTTGATTTTGGCTCCTTAACAAAACTATCGCGATGCCTACATTTCCAAGTAACATGCTTAAGCAAACAAAGGTTAGCATCGTGAGGTAAAACACAGAATGCTCTTCTCTTTTAATAAAGCCAGTGAAAAGCATTGATATTCGAATGGTCTGATTTTAAGGAAAGCGACTTTTACCGCGATTTCGTTCTCAAGTTTGCCATATTAATTGCGTCAAAATAATTCCGCGTTTGAATCTCTTCTTAAACTCTCGCTAACCACAATCTTTTCCAAACGTACTTTAATCATGTCATCTTGTGGATTCTCTTACGAGTCATTCATAACTTACCACTTATCTATCGTGAAAGCTTTCCTAGAAAGGCGAGCCATCGAAAAGGTTCGTAACGCGACTCTGAACTCCGCCATATTGCAAGTACAGGGCGTATAATAGTTCACTTCCGGTTCGACGACTTCCGTTTTTCCGTTCAACTCACTTTTTTTGATGACTTTCAGCAACAAAAGTTTGCACTGTTTCTCTTTAAGAGCGCTCTGTGTTTAGCAAAGTTGATATTTTCCAATGATCACAGTAAAGTGCACACAGTACAACCGCTATCTTTGGTCGATAGTAACAATATAGATCTCAGCCCCACTCTATGAGCGTGAAATGTTTTCCTTTGCTTTAAGTTAGTTTTTCATTTTCTATTTAAAAGTTAAATTCCTAGTAGGGCTTAATATCAATTTATAAAATTAAACAACATAGCATGACTACAAGCAATATTTGAGACAAAGAGAGCCTTTATCAAGTCAAGTTTACTAATCAACTAATTTTTTCATTTATTTAAGAAAGGTTCAGTTTACTTAATAATCAAATTGCTACTTACATATACTGTAAATAGAGAGGCTTTCTGATACAGAAAACTAGAACAGATAAGAAATACCACCACCACAATGAACAACTGGAAGGGATGGGAGGGAAGGAAAATGGCTTCTAGGTGTACAAATGAAGCACATCATGCCTTAAAAAGCTTGGCAATTGAGAAACTGAACTCAAATCCCCAGGTGATATCTTTAGTACCTAACACGACTGTACTTTTACTCGTACTAGAAAAACCTACTAACAGCTCACACAACAGTCTGGTGATGTTAAATTGCTTTTACTAAGTGAGCTGGCATGAACAAAAGTATGATGCAAGACTGCCTCTGTACTGATTCCTATGTTTGTGATTCAGAAGCACATCACCTAGTATTTAGTGATATTCCCGTTTGTTCAAAACAACTACATATAAACAATACCATTTATTTTCTAAAATACATAAGATCATTCAACCTTAACCCTGGGGACACTAAAACATACAGCTGAAAATAAGAGCCACAAATCTGCACTACTGTCTTAGTTTTCCACGAACTTGGCATGTCTATTAAACACAAGAAAGACCAAATTTGTGATTGCATGACAAATGGGCTTCAAATTTCCCACACAATCAAATCTGTCATACTAAACTAGTAAGAAAACTGCTGGACTACCACTATTTGAGTGTGGCTTCTGTAACAACAATGTATGCCAACTGATTATGGGCTGCATAACCCAATCCATGTACAGTAATTTTTGAAATGTTTTGGAAAAAATTGAAGACAGCAAACCAAGCCAACCAAGCCAACCAAGCCACTGTACTCCTGTAGTCAGCCTCCAGCTATAACACATTCTACTCTGTTACAAATAATGTCAAAAACAACAAAACTCATTATTATTGAAACAATAACAAAAAGTTTGTTCCATAAAACATACTATCTAGAATCACCATAAAACTCACTACCTAACATATTTCTTAATAAACTAAATATCTACCATCTTTCTGCTAATTACTGCCATGGTCACAAATTTTTTTTTTTAGTTAATGGTTTTTTCATGTAACCACAATATTATGCTCATTTGCTCTGACAAAGGACTCATGCTCAAAAAACCCTTTAAGGAGACCAATTTACACTATCATTTCAGTTCATAAAACCAATTATCTCATATTGATCCTAACCTTTGACTTTTTTAACGTTTCAAGATTTTACCTGGAAGTTACTAATTTTAAATCTGCTGTTCCCTGGACTAATACTTCCACTTAACACAGTCAGCAGAATTTGCTTAATAACTTATAAGCAGTTTACTTCACAGCCTTAATTGATCATTGTTATAATATAACTTCTCCTAAATGCAGTACATAACATCAAGGAGTGGGACATTCTTGATATTTAGTGATGGATGCAGATCAAGTTGTACATCAAAGCTTAGAAAGTTCTTTGAACCACATCATCAGATTACTAAGCCCAACTCAAAAAAAATAGTAATAATAATAATAATAATAATAATAATAATAATAATAATATCTACCACTGTTGTATGTGACAACAATCTCAAGATCTAGTCAATATTATAGTAACTATACTCAGAGCCTAGGAACTCCAATAAGAGTTCATTCTGCAGCTAGCTTCAGCTTTCAGTTTCACCCACAGGAATATTAATTACCAAAACGGCAGAGGTTGACTAAGTAAGTATTTACCATGCTTTACTCTAAGCCACTGGATGCACACAATGCATAGCTCAGCTTTATGGTAGTTGTCATGGCAAAATAAAGTTATATTAATACACCAGTAAAAGTAAACTCCCCCCTCTTCTTTTCCTGGGATATAGGTAGGAATTGGTTCTGATTAGCAAACAAACCCCGACAAGTGCTCCTCCATGTCACAAAGTTTTTTCGAAAATATGGGGCATTAAATCAATTTGCTGAACTTAAATTGTTTTCCTTTATGAAACTTCACAAAGTATTTCAATTTACAATTAATGTCAGTTTGCTTCAGTTTATAATATGGGAACCTTGACAGGCAGTTGCAGTTTATTTGATATTCAGTGTAACTTATAATACATTACAGCACCATTTTACTTGGAAATCTTGCCATCTAAGAATCCCCATAACTCTATGAGGTAGAGAAGCCACAATCTCATGTATTCAATTTTCCAGACTGCAAGTGACATAAATGTATGATTCCCTATCTACTCAAGACATGAAGGGCTGCCAGTAACTTACAGAATCCATACCAAAGCCCCACATATCTCACAATGGCAGGGGGTTGGGTTTACTTTGACTGACACATTACATCTACATTTGACAGCCTTACAGCTGCCTGAGGAATCACTATGTAGCACAGCCCCTCAAAAGGCTCCTTAACATGTTAGCAACATCTTCAATCAGGCACTGGAGGTGGATATGGAGTGGACTTTGGACCTGTGGCTCCTGAACAAGCTCCTGATGGAAGGTGAGACTGTGAAGAGGTTGCACCCCCTGTGGCACCCGTACTGCATTTAATGAGAAAAAAGAATCTGTTCAGTGGATAGATGTATTTTTTTTAATACAACACTTATTTACTCAAAAGAAAAGTTGTTGCCAAAAAATGATGGACAAAAATAAATGAATGGATCAAGTTTGCAAATATAATGTAGACACACGGAATGAATGCCCAATCCTTTTTTTAAGTCCTTTTCATGGTGCTACAGATGAAAATGAATTTTTTATAGATGACTCATACTTGCCTAGTAGACTAATGTGACTCTGAGCTTTTTTACTGGTTTCTGCTTCATTTATAAGAAATGACCTATGTGACGAATCCTCTTTCCTGGCAAAATGTTGTAGCTCTTTTTTTTTTTTTAATTAGTTTCTGATACATGAAAGACTTCCAAGGAATGACTTCAGAAAAAGGAACACTTTTTGCATTATTATAATTTCTTCCAAACTAAGTGCAAACCAGCAAAAGTTTTTATTCTCTCTTATCTAAAAAAGTTGAAAAAAAAAGTGAGGTGACTACATTGTCCTGAGCTTTTCAGTTTGGGTAAAGTTGATGTTCAAGATGGTTCAGTTTAAGTACAAAGTAATGTTTAAAGTAAAGGCCCCAACCTCAGAAGGTCTAAAAGGCAATTCAAATTAACTTGACAAGTACTTTGACTGCTACCTTTTAGCTTTCAGCAGAATTGTAAGGGTAACAGCCTTCTCCTTGGAAAACTTTTTCTCATAATTATCAAGCGAGAAGTTTTTGTAAACTCTTTCTTCATCTCCACAAAGCATGGCAATACCACTCTGTACATTTATAAGACATGAATAATGTTAAAATGAATGAAGATAGACATAGCAAATATCTCTTATTCGTTAAACAGTGCAACAAATCATCTCAGTCCCAGAAGACAAATGAAACCCACAGTCCCAGGTTAGGGAGACACACCCATACATAATCCATATTAGGGTGGAAGTGTGATTGGTAACATTGATAAGTACCTTAGCATGGAAAAAGGTTTACAAAACTAGCTGTAAGATGGATGATGATATTAATGGAGTTTCTTGAGAATAACAAGCCTGTAGAGTATTGGTAAGGTTTTGTTAGTGTCTGCATATACTCTACAAAGGGACAGCAAAATGTCCCAAACAGTCAAGCCCAATAAAGCCTCTTCAACAACCCAACAGTGGATGTACTTGTATGTTAGCTTTCCTAGCAAAATAAAACAATTGAATATGGTCTGCTGAATTAATCTGTTGACACTACACACCTCCCCATCCTCTTGGGAACAGTCATATGCTGCATCACTTGCACAACTGCCTCCAGCACGGGTCCCTGAATAATCATTTAATATAAATTCACTCAAGTTCAGTCAAAAATGTGTAACAGACTACATGTAAGTGAAGGTGGTAGGTGGGCGCTAATCCATTATAGCAAAAACTAAGGGCAGCCAACCAAAATATGTGTGGGAAGGGAAAATGAAGGGGACTTGGGGAGACAAACTCTTTCCATTAAATTGTCCTTCAGTCCAGAAACACATGCATGTTAACACTTCTAACAATAACAAGCATGTCAACATTATTTGCAACAAGTCTATTCCCTTTTTCTGCCTTTTAACTTAGAATATATTGGAAAGTATTTGCTTCTGGGGTGTGACAGAAAATTAATTTTTTAAATATGTGCCTGCAAACGTTAAGAAAACCTTTATTCTTTCATGACTGAAAGCAAAACACAGTTGTATATCTCTTCTTCCATCTGTTTCACATTTCTTGATTCATTAAAACTATACAGGAGACAGACTTAAGCCATGCTGCTATGTATTGTACAGAGTTGTACAATGGAAGATGTCACGACAGTGGCTTTGTGGGAAGGAAAGGCTTTGCAGATTAGGCAGTTCTTACAGGAGTTTATATTATGGTTTTATTTCATCGTTTAGGTTCAAACCCTATTTTCTTTGGTTCAATCTCAAACATTACAGTAACTACATGTTCATGTATAATGATTACCATGCATTTGAACAATACAAAGAATACTAATTACCCGCAGAATCTGGAAATCCTCTCATGCTTCGACAAGCTACTGTTGGCTTGACCAGACCACCAAATCCCCGATTTATTCCAAATACATGACTGGGGCCCCTAATCAATTAGGAGAAAAGTTCATCAGACAAGTCAAGTTCTCATCTAAATGATTTCAAATGCTCAACTATTATTATGTAAAATTTTGAATACTTAAGGCAATTTGTCAATCAAATACTGTTTTCACAGAGAAGCTTCAGCCCTATAATAATTATGACAATAGAAGCAAAGTGCTCAATAATGGATAAGTGGTCATTACTATGGTCAATATTATTAATTCTGTGATTGGTGGATTTGGCTGAGTGGACTTAGTATGATTTGCTACTTCAACTGTCCAATTACAGGTGTCTGATTATGGTTAACTGTTTAATTATACTGTACAGAATGATTAGTGAAAAATAAAGCAACTAATGCACTAATCACATTTGAAGAAATAATTGTAATGGTTATGACTAAGAAGATACCAGAATTGGATATTTATGCTTATTAAATATATGTACATTTGACAAATTAAAAAGTGATGTCTACATGTACCAATCACCTGATCTTGCATGCTCTGGTTATGGCATACAGTCACATTGGTTAGCCTGAATTTTGACATTCTTTCTCAGTATGATAAGAAATTTATCAACATGCAACTTCTAAAGAAGAATCAAGGACAATTTGGTTCTTTCTTCAAATAGAAATAGGAAACAAATAGATGTTAAACATACCCACTGAGAGAACTCATGCTAAATCCACGGTGAGTGCTGCGGGCTCTATTTGAAACAACTATCTTGGTTTTGTTTTTCAAACCCAAGTCAAATAGTTTCCTGTTGCCCACCCCACTTATATCTTTGTTGTTCTCATAAAGGCTTAATGTAGCACCACTATCACAGATGCCTCTTTCTACCAGCCTATCCATTAGCTCCTGAACTGTGGCAGACCATTTTATATCAACTTTTACTTCTTTTCCATCATGTAAGATATCAATGTTAATGTTCCTGTCCTTGAAAACCTTCAACTCAGGTGTCTTCTTTGATGTTAAAAGTGCCGAGGTGAGTGTTTTGCCATCAATGTCCATATCTTGTTCCTTGAAAGCCAGAAGTTGCTCATCAGGTGGGATTTTGATTTTCTCTGCAATGAAATCTTTGACAGCATCCAAAGAAACGTTTTGTGGATCCAGATTCATGATGATTGGGTCCATCCCATGGGATTCAATCTTGATTTCCTCTGTATCATTGACAACTTGAATCACCTCATTTTTGTTCAATGCATATGAGCTTAAAAAGGCAAGGAAAGAAATATGCTTAAGTTTAAATTATAGTAATTATCATATGCTGCCCATTTTAGGAAAGATTTCCTTATTCTTTGCTTATTCATTAGTACTACAGTACTAACAGCGTTCATCAGTACAACAGTACCAACAGTATGCATGAAGCACATTTTCCTTTAATTAGTATTTTGTTTACTCATCAATATTACAGTACTAAAAGTGTGTATGCAGCACTGTACAGTATTTGTTTATGTTTTAGTCCAGAAACCAGATGGCGGCCACTGTAGTCATAATCAAATGGATTTTTGCATGACAAAAAAATAATAGTCATTGGATGATTATTTTAGCATTAATACTTCTGTGAAATACCCAGAAACAGTTAATTACATAGTTGGTGAAAAAACCAAAACCAGAACCCTGCCTGGTGCCGGAGGGTTTGAGATCATGAGACCCAGGGGGGGGGAGGGGGAGAGGGACCCAGCCTGCCTTACTGGTTTCCCAGAGGGTAAAGCAAATTGCTCAAGAAAATATATCACATTGCTGTGCCAAGATAGCTTGAAGCATCCTGTCCAAGAGGAACAGGTTATATCCTTGTCTTCCAGAGAAAACAAAGTGTTTCTACAATCTAGTTAAGATAAGGAGGAATGTAGATGAGCACTAACTGTACTTGTAAAAAATTGATCCAGGATTGAAACCCCCTGTGAAACTGTCATAACAACATCTTTGCACTAAATTGATGTAACTTTCACCTGATAGTTTTTCCTTCATCTAAGATTTCGCCACCTCTCAACAGATATGAGATCATGGAATCCCACTTTTTGCTGATCTCCTGTTTTAAGTCACCAATGGTTGTTGTACTGGAAGGGGCTATTGACACTGGAATGAGCTTTTCTTCCCTTTGATCTCTCACATGCTGTGCAAAAATTTTCAATATGTGAACTTCAGGTTTAAACTCCAGCTCAATGAACCCATTAAGTTCTGGTTTTTCACCATAGAAGTCAGCACTGGGTTTGGGTTTGTTGTCATCTACATCACTAAAGAACCTCAACCTTCCATCAGCCCAGGAGGAACCTTCAATCACCAGAGGGTTATGAGATATTGACTGCTTAGCTTCTAATGCCCAAACACCAAGATACATTCCACCAAATGTTATGTCCACCTCAGCAGCTATAGGTGCAAGTAGAAAACCAAACAAGAAGGATTTATTATAATAGTGTATCAGAATTTCTGAAGAGAAAAATTTTTAAGGGAGAGTGGACACTTATTTTGGTATGTTCCCAAAGGAACAATAGGGGCTTTAGCTACTATGAAAGTATTCACTTAAACTTAGACAAGACTGGAATTTGATTCCTCTGTTTGTATGCATTGGACACTTGCTGTAGAGTGACATAATACACAATAATGACACTAAAATTCAGTTTTTTCTGCTGAAGTTACCACCTACCATGATCATTTTCATTTCCAATAACAATACAAAACTGCGTCCCACTCTCCATCATGACCATGCCCTTGTCATGCGTGCTTTCAGTGAGCTGGCCATTAGTTACCACCACAGAATAGCCTGCCTTGTGATAGCAGCCAAACTCCTGTGACCAGTCTGTTTGACTGTTGGGATTAGGGAATGGATTGGTGCCACTCACATTTCCTTGCATAGCTAAAATATTTTGAAGAAATGCCACTTTTTGTTCAACACTAAGTAGTTGGGCAGAAGGGTTTAATGCTGCAATAATTTCACTCAGTTCTGCCTGAGAATGAGCACTGGAGCCAGGGAAAGCAAAGCCACCATCCATAGAACCCCCATGAACCAAAGGTGGAGCACCAGAGCCATAGAAACCAGGGCGATAGTCTATAGAACCTCCATAAACTGAAGGTGGAGGAGTTGAAAAAACACCAGGTGGATGGTGGCACTTGGGTCGCCCCATGCTGGTAGGTGCTGGATCATGTGGTTCTTCATCATATATCACAGGCCTTTTTTCACCAGAAGTGGATGTGGGTGTCCCAATGTCTGAAGGTGGAGTGGAGAATCCATCTCCAAAGGGGTAGTCCTTAGTGAGCTCCATGGTGACATGTGTTCCATGGGTTGAACCAGACAAGGGTACCTTAGGTTTTTCATTTAATGTTACATCACTGTTATCACTGTAGAATGGGTCAGGCCCACTTCCTTCTTCATGAACAGTTCCAACAGGAGATGATGGATTAGAATACCCAGTTTCTGTAGGTTCTTTAGAGCTTTTGGTATCAGGAGGAACCAATTCATATTCTTTTGTAGATTCATTTGCAAAAAACAATTTACCATAGAGATTGGTTCCTGTAACTAAAAAATAAATTGAATCATTGAGCCTGTAATCAATTTTCCAATCCCCCCCCCTTTTTTTTAATTAAGTCAGTCTTGAGTGAGTCAATTGTTAAATCAACAGGGACAAAATTCATTGATTTGAACTCACAACTTTCTGTTGACTTAACCACAACATTTTATCAACTTGATTTTAAAATGTTAGAATCTGTCCACCTTCAGTTTTGCTCCAGTCTCAGCAGAGACATTGTATCATAAAGCTGGCCAAGTCACACAAGAGTTCAGGTCCTTTGCAGCCTCTCTTCATGCCAGTTGACACAATAGGCAAAGAGAGGGAGTGTGTACTCAGAGTAATTGACAGTGAAAAATCTTTTAAGCAAAGAACTGCATTACCCTCAGTGATTCAGGGGGGAGGGGGGGTGTTATACAAATGTACCTTTGTCATCCACCTCCATGGCCTTTCCTTGGTCAGTTTGAGATGGCCCGGTAGTTTTCACTTTTTTCTCTTTAGGACGTGCTCCAGAACCATTATCATCTACAGGACTTTTCTTTTCAACTGAAATTAAGATTACAAACCAGAGAGTTTTGTTTTTAGGGTTGAAGACATTTCCTTATCAACACAACAAACACACCATTTGCTTATAAATTCACATAAGCGTATTACTGTTTTTTTTCACATATTTGGTGTGACAGTGGTTGTTACTTTTAATCCTCTTGGAAATTTTGTGCAGGAAATTGGAGCAGCACTAGCCGAAATTGATCCCTTTGCACATGCCCTATGTTTAACTGCTGTGTTTATAAATAGAAATAGTGTATGTATAACCTTCCAAAAATTATATTATAGATGTAATTTATATAACTTAAAGACAGCCAATTGTGACTGTTGTGCTCCATTATCTTTGAATAAAACTTACAGTTGCTCACCAAAATGCAACTTTCTGCTTGTTAAAAAGAAAAAATAAACACAGTGGAAATAGTTCAAAGTTCATCCAGAGTTTAAGGTGCGACAATATCATTACATGCACTCTTACATTTCTCTCCATCAGTCTTGGATTCTGCTGCAGATTCTTCTCCATTTTCATTACTATCAGTAACAACATCACTATCCAGATTACTTGAGGACATGCTACTAGTAGGCACTTTTCCATCAGGTAAACCACTGTTATTAATGGGAGCTTTTCCACTATCAGATTCCTCTGGACCATTATGATAAAGGATCTTATCGTCACAAGGTCCCTTTGGAGATTGTTTGAAGGTGCTTTTCATCTCCACATCACTAACCTCCTCTTTTGTGGTGTTAGATTCTGTGATTTCATCTCTAGCTGCTTCATCACTTGTCAGTTGTTCATTGCTGTGTAAGTCAATGGACCCATCATGTGAGACCTCCATGCCCTCTTCCCTTTTCAACAAATAATCAGCTTGGGTTTTCTTTGTCTTTTCTTTCTTTCTCTCCATCAATTTTTCATTCTGCAACAACTCATTTTGCACTGCAAAATAAGAATAATAATTATTCAAAGAGTAATTAATCATAATCAAACAGTACAAGTATCACAAAGAGTACTTTCCTTCCTCCTCTCCACCATTAACCCTCTACACCCTAACATAAGTATGCATATATTCCATATCATTTTACCTCTCCTACCTCTCCTAGGATGCTAAAAAAGAGAATTTGTTCAACATTGAAGAGCTTCTCTAGTTGGTGATCGTTTCCTTTAATCTTGTGACCCTAATGTTTAATTCAGGGTGATATTGTAAGGAGAAATTAGATACTGGTCACTCTTTGAGGTCAAAGTGCTCAGCCACTTTGTAGGATGTTCTTTCCTCTCCTAACCCATTACTCTACTTCATACAGTGAATACTCAATCGCACTTACAATCAGGACTGTTCTTTCCACTGTGTCTTCCATTAGCAGTGCCATCAAACTCCATATCAGAATCTGAAAAAAAAAAAAAATGCTACATCAACCCAGAGACTGCTTAGTTCAAGGTGAATGAAACTTGAAAAGCAGTCAGTACATAAAAAAGCTTTAAGGATCTCAGACAGAGACAAATTCTTAACTTATATAATACTTAAATTGTGACCCGGAAAGGCAAATGGACACTAATGGAAAACCATTCAAACAACAAAAATGCACAGATAATGAACAGTTAAGAACAGTCCTTGAAGCATTCAAATGGTTTGTTTAACTGTTTGAATGGGTGAATAAATTATTTGAACGGTTTGGTCAGCCGTTTGAATGGATGAGTAAAAGTTTCAAACAGACAGGCAAACCATTTGAATGGGTCAATAAATTATTTAACCAGTTTGATTAGCTTTTCAAATGGTTAGCTTAGCAGTTCGAATGGATGAGTAAAATGAATAATGCCAAACGGACTGGCAAGCCTTTCGAATGGATGAAAATATTATTGATTCATACGATTGGTTTACCAATTGTACAGATGAATAAATTGCTTAAATGGTTTTAGAAACCATTCCGAGCACATGGCTTGATCATGGAACGGGTAATGTTGCTGTGCATTGTTTTCATTTCATTTGTCATCGTTGTCAATTTCAAGGCCTTTATTCTCAAGATCAAAAATGGAGACTATTTCAATTTCTTATCAAAATAATGTTTTTAGTTATTGTCTGAAACTACTGAATATCTCATGAAAGTGTTTGTCATCATGGTTTAAAATGATGGCTGAGTTAATCATTTGTCTCGTGATTTAGTCACATAGATATGGGTTGTGACATTTCAACTGCTATACTGACTAACTGGAGAAACAACAAGTGCAATTTTTTCCTTTCAGACAAATGAACAAAACGGACGTCAAACCATTCGAACGGATGCCATAGGTCTCAGAATGGACATTTCTAGTTAGTGAATGGATGCAAAAACTGTTCAAACAGATGTTGCAATACTTCGAACAGATGCTAATGTATTTTGAACGGATATGCAAAGTATTTGAACAGTCTGTCAAACGCTTTGAACAGATTTTTTTAAAATGAACAGTTTGCCTGTTCAGATGGATAACCATCAGTGTCTGTTTTGCCTTTCACGGTCACAATTGTTTAACCAGTCTCCACTAGTAGGAAACTTTAGCTATAAATTAGAGCAAGATGAATTGTTTCAACCAATTTAAAAGAAAGAAATCGGGGCAAAATACTAAGCAACACTGTCCACAGCAGTGTAACAGTATTGTTTTCTTGTCTCTCTGTGACAGGTGCCAGACTGATAGACTGCTTTTAGTGACAAAAAGCAATAACTTGTATCTAGGTCCCTAATTCTTAACACAATCATAATTTAGTAGATTAATGGCCTGAGCATCCCAATATTTATTTTAACTTATTCAAGTATTAAGTACAGTACAATAAACAAGGTACTAGGAGAATAAACAATAGCTTTAGGGGCCAGGGTCCCCAACCCAACCCCCAAAAAATTCCTTTGATCCTTGAACCCAATGAACTACCATAAAAGCAAAGTATATACAATAAACTAGATGTAATATGATAATATTACCACTAGATAATATTATGAACAATTTTGGAATAGTTTTCACAGAGGAGTGTAATGAATAATGTCGGATCAATGATCAAGTTATATCCAGTAGTGCGTAGATCAATATAACATATGATAATAGTGAAACCTGTGTCAACTGTTCCACAACAAATATAAAGCGCATCATCATGCAAAGTTCTTCTGATACATATACTGTAGCTTATGAGAAATGATGTGCATGTAAATGTTAAGAAAATTCTATATACAAACCATTAGTTCCCAAGTTCGGTGCACCAATTTGATTGAAAATCTCTGAAAAGTACAGTTCTTTAAGTACTATTTTTTCCACAAGATCTTCTCGCCCTATTTCGTTGAGACCATTTTTTAAGACACCAAAATTAGTTGGACTGAGATGACACCTTCTTTTCAATTCCTCAAAATACGAACAAAATGACATTTTATCGCACTCAGCGGATGAGACATAAGGCGTCAAAATAAACTTTAAATGTTCAAGGTCTTGTGACTTCAATTCCTTTCCAAGTTGAAGCAAAAAGCTTCGAAACTCAAAGTTCAGCTTTTGTTCCATGGAGAATGTTTCAATCACTTCCGCTTTAACCAAAGTTGCAGGATATCCCGCAGTCTTTCACCAGGTAGAAAACATTAGCTATAGTGCCCTCTGATGGACTAATAATAGCGATTAAATGAAATTTCAGTTTCGAACAAACGTCAGTGGAATTTACACAACACCAAAGAGAAAGAGATTTCAGCTCCCCTTCAAAAACGAAAGGCCTCGCCGGGGTATTCCCCAACCTCGATTTCACGAGTGACGTCACTGGAGATCACGTGGTACTTGCAAGGTACGTCTTTGGCGGGAACCACGTAAAGAAAGATCAAGATGGCACTGTGAACTGATTATCCAAGAAGTTAACCTTGAATCGCGAAATCCATGAGCATGGAAGAGTGGGAAATTCCCTATGAAGAGGATGATTTTGAATCTCGCTACGCGGATGAACTGGACATGCTCGAAGAACTCGATGAAGAAGGTGAGATTCTTCTGTAATGAATATGTCGAGGACGAATTGAAAGAGGTTCCCTTGAAAGTTGAAATGTCGGCATACTTCTCGGAGTTGGGTATTATATCGGGCTAAATTTTTGAAATTGATAAATTTTTGCTCCATTGTATCGTGAGCTCCTGATTTCAATCACTCCGTACAATTGACTGAAATGTCGATCGAACAGTTAGCTGATGGAATCTGTGGAGGATTCTATGGAATCTTTGCGATCGAACAATTTCTAATGAAATGGTAATTGTACCTTTCAAGCAATAAACGAATCAGATATATCTTGGGGCTCGTATGTTTTTATCGTCGCTTAAAGAGACACGGCCAGTCTAATTTCATCAGTAATTCATGAGAAAATGCTCCAAAATCAAAACACAACAAACCAACTAATACGCCCCATTCCCCTTTGTAAAGGAATCTCTGTTTTTGGTTCCATAATAAGGATGGTGCACAGGGAATAGTATTTGAGCTACATACAAAATTAACGACGAAATGTCATTGATGGTTATATCAGTCTTTGATGACCTATTTTATTACCCTTGTTCATGTGTTTTTGTGTTACAGTCGTTGCCCCATCTTCAAAAAAAGGCTTAAATTTTCATAACGTCAAAGAAGCAGTTTACAAGGAAGTAGATGTGGATAGTGAGTCTATCAATAAACGCACCAAACAACCCAACTCAAAAAAGCGAGATTGTGATGAGATGTTCCTGCCCCTCTTAGAGGATGATGAAGATGATGAACCACATCCTCTTGATTCAGGTCTGTACATTAGCTAGTATGCAGTTAGTGTTCTGTAGTTACAACAGCAGTACTCTTTACAAATATTGGAAAACTTTTATCCCTGCCTGTGATTCCTCTTTTCCCTCTTGTCATATAGATTGTCCTTTTTTTTTTTTTTTTTTGAAACTTGCAACATGTAAGGTTCTGAAACGGTTTCTTTGATACTGATGGTATGATGCATTATTTGTAATCTGTACTATCCAAACTGTTCCACTGGGATCAGTTCTTACAAAATGCAACTGCTAAACAGTCTTAGAAAACTAAATTGTCTTTAGAACTTATCTGCTGTAAACCCCATACCTGTGTATAAATGTTGTTGTTTAATCCAGACAACCCGTAAAACACACCCCTACAAATAAATTCCGTATCAACTTAAAAATTGAACAATGGAAAGGGGAAAATAAGTTGTGACTTGGACTTCTATTATTTTGTTGTCTTAACATCTTTTTAGCTCCTTGTAAAAAGAAGGCTCGTCTCAGCCCTAGCAAATATGGTGGAAGTCATGAGGCAGATTACCATCTTCCCAATATACGAAGTCCACTCAGAGAGCTACAACCAAGTTTAGACCAGTCTCAATTTGTGGCCACCATGGACAGAAGACTAAATGAAATTGCTTCAACAAAAGCAGAGAGAAGGAAGGTGTTTCGAAGACCCCCTATGAGCTGTGAATCTGTCTCCATAACAAGAACAGATGGCCAAAGGCTTTATCTGTCAATCAGGCATGAGAGAGAAGAGAAATCTGATGGGTTGGAATCCAAGGTATACTGTCCAACATCTAATTTCTTGTTACTGTAATACTGCTAGATCCTTTATCAAGATCATAAGACTAAAGGAAATGATTGCTAACCTAACAAGCTTTGATTGTTAAACAAATTCTCCTTGTCATTACCAAAGAAAATGCACAAGGAAGAGTATGAGGAATATTGATACTGATGATAGGGTTTAAGGTGTTAAGTGAGCCTTGGAAAGTTGCATAAGAGGTACATGTGGTGATAGGTGTGATGCAAATGCTACAGCAAGCATGGAAGAATCCCCAGGACAAAAAAAAAAAACAATTGGGGGCTGCTAAGAGATATGTACTACCTAATGCTTTCAAAAGCCAGCTGTAGGAGACCCTTTTGAAAATTATGTCCTAAATAATGTGGCTACTCTAAAATGTCCCTTTCCAGAAGCACATTACTCAAATTTCATGTGGCATTTGTGCAATTTTGGTCATAAAATACACCCTTATGGCTGAAATTCTTTTCCTTTCCAAGCAATAACCAGTAAAATTTACTGCCAGTAGTACCTCTAAATACTGCCTAAACTCCCTTGGAATTCTTGAAAGTTCAAGAGCTGAAAGGATTGCCCTATCAGATTGGAAATTTCTTTTACCAATTGTTCTTAAAATGAGGACGGATATTGTGGTAAACATTAATTTCAATGCAAAATTGTTACATTCATGAACAATTGTAAGGCAAACTGCAAATGATATATGCAGTCATTAAATTTTTTTTGCCGAAACATTGTGGAGACATGTACTTGAAAAGGCTGAGAAGATGATAAAGATCAACTTTGAAACTTAATATACAACTGAACACACACCATATTTCTGTAAATCCTCCTTCTTTTAGACAGAAAGAACAACTTTTTGCTCTCTTTCCAGGGATTGAAAAAGAAACTCTTTAGAAGGGGAACAGGAAATTTGCTTCAGTTGCTGTCAGTACCATTTTCTGTGCTACGCGAAAGTGTGGAGGAAGAGGTATGTGCATTGTAAGTTTCATTTTCAGATAGGAATATCAAATCATACATCTTTGTTAAATCTTTATATCCATCACTAGGACAGTATTACAATAAAACCTCCACTAAGCAGACCCCCTGTTAAGCAGAAACCTTCTATTAAGCGGACACTAAACCGGGTCCCAAAATTAATGACTCATATTTCCTTTCATAACCAACCCCAATTCAGCTGCCACCTCTATTAAGTGGACACAGACACTAAATTAAATTGTATTTGACAAATTTGGATCATTTAAAACCTCTATTAAGTAGGCGTGCTGCACTTAATTTTTGCACAAACTTTGAAAGAGTCAATGTACTGCAGATATTATTGTTGCTGTTTTGCTGTCTTGTTTTTGCATTATTACCTGTAAATTAAAGTTGGTAATGAAAGGTAGTGAACTTGAACTCTGGATTGCTTTGTTAGCAACATGGAACTTTATCACAGTACAGAGTAACTGTTGAATGTTAATCTTTGAGAATTATTGGAAAGTGGACCTCTGGGAAGCAGACACTTGGCAAGGGTATATGCATAATAGATGTTTCACTGTAATTTTAGACTAAGAAATAGACTGGAATTGACTTTTTCTGTGATTGTGTTTTTTCCCTTAAATTTCAAGGGAATGTATTTTTGCCTAAGGTATGTAATGAAATTCATAAAATACCACTGTAAAATGTGCTTTAATCTTTTAATTCATCTTATTTGCTCTATCAGAGACGGAGAAGGACAATTGAGGAATCAGAGAAGCTAACAGAATCTTTACAAAGGTAGTCTATTGAATAACTACAGAAACTGAAAAATTTAAAATGGAATTAGAGAGAGTTTCACAAGTAAATCCAATGGGCAATATATTTTGTTTATATTTTATTTCCTGTAAAAACGTTAAAGATTAAGTGATAATGATACAATTGTACTTGATAATGCAGTTAAATTGTTCTCAAACTATTGTTTGCCCAGTATGCTTCCCCTACATGTACATGCACATGTACATTCTTGGTGATTCATGGATTAAGTCTCGATTTTATTAACTTTAGAATGCTTGATGATGGTAATTCCAACATTGAGGAAGTTGAACTGAAAGAACCCAGCAGACATGACAACCATCACAGTATTCCACAACATTCCTTATGGGTTGAAAAGTATACCCCACGATTTTTCACAGAATTGCTCAGTGATGATGTGAGTAGTGTGTTCTCTATCTAATAGCTTGGTTGTTGAAAAACTCTCCCATAAGGAACTGAATTTAGGACCTCAGGATTTCACCTCCTGATGCTCAACACTGAGCTATGGAGACCCCAATGGTGGGCCAGGGATATAGAAGTTCATATGAGACATGCATTCAGGATACTGCTGGGATCTGCAAATTCCTAAAATCTGTTTTAACACTGCCAATGCCTGCGCACCAATGAGATATATATAGCTTAGTGTTAGAGAATTTGATCACAAATTCCAAAAGTCTGTCTTCTTGCTTGGAACAATGAGTAACATCTTAATATAACAGCATCCAAACTTTAAGGTGATTCCTCAGAAAAAAAGTTATCAACAATTTTATCTAAACTTTTCTTAAATGTTTGTTATCGATGCCAGTTTCAAAACATACAATAACAAAGATAGGTTTATAAATGCAGGCGTTTACACCATAGGGATGTCACAATTCAAAGTTCTCACAAGGACATCAATGCACTAAATTTCAGAGTAATAATCTGATGACAAACACGTCAAACTAAAACACAAGCCAAAAAAACCTAATCTAAGCGACATTACATAGAGCTAAGCTAAAACAATAATTATTACATTACAATGCAAGAAAAGACAAGTGCACAAAAACCTAACAATAATCGATCAAATAATAAAACAAAAACAACAAGAGGAGAGAAAAATATGTTTAGCGATTGTCCTCTCTGTACACAGGCTTTTTCCCCTGATTATGTAATTTTTATGGACAGTAGAGGGTGCGCTGTGCAATACTTAGGAATCACCTTAAATATATTTCCTCTCCTAATCTGTTTCACCATTAGTGCCCATGTTGCTCTGTGAGTACTCAGTAATAGAGCACAGATGATGTCAAAACATAGTGAGAACAAAAAAGTGACACATTAGGCGCAGCTCTGTAACAGAACTGCATGGTGGCTTGGCATCTATTTGTTTAACAAAATGAAGGAAAGAAATTTTATAATGGTG